GCAACGATATTCAAGTGGAGCTGTTTCCTGTCAATCAACATATTCACATATATAGTAAGTATATGAAACCAATTATATCATGTACAGCGCTTATAAACAAAAACAATTATACCTGAACACAATATTATTGTATGACTGTAAATGTGAATAATGTCTCTTGATTATCTGCCGAAAAGGGCGTTAAAGGCGGTGAAAAGGCGGGGAAAGCCCAAAGTGATGCAGATTTTAGACGTTTACCTATGGAATCCTTGAAGGGACATCGTCGCGTTGTCGCATTGTTTCAATGGTGTACAATCCGGGTTGTAGTCCTGTGTGAAACTTGAACTAAATTCCCTTAGAGCTTGGCCCTAGAGTACTATCCCATTATTAGAAAAAGCGATCTTTCAATGTCATTTCTCTCTTTGATGTGAGCCATGAAGTGTTTAAAGTCCTTTACCGGCGAAACTGTATTTTATAATATGCATTTATTGGCTAAATTTGCGTGCTTGCGTGCGTGCGTGCGTGAGTGAGTGAGTGAGTGAGTGAGTGAGTGAGTGAGTGAGTGAGGTTTAACGCTGCCTTTAGCAATAATCCAGCAATGAGTTCGTGAGCAGTGAGCAGTGAACTTTACACATTGTACCCATGGGGAAATCGAACCCGTGTCTTCTGCGTGACGAGCGAACGCTTAAACCACCGGGCTACCCAGAAGCGTGACATCATCAAAAATATTCCATCGTTTAAAACAAATAAACTAAGCGACGAAACAAAGTATAGGTTGGCCATTTGTAATTTCCTAAAAATTGTACTGACTGCTCAACATTGACGCCTGAGACTGCGATGGGCGAGGCAGGTTCGACGCTGGCAAGTCGGTTTAACTTGTTTCGAAAGGACGACACAGAACGAGTTTATTGGCGCAGAGGGGAACGTTTGGCTCCGGCGTGTATTCCAGAGGTCCATCCATTCGGCGGGAGAGGTGTCATGATGTGGAGCGGTATTTGTGGAGATCAGAAGACTAATGTGGTGATTATACTGGGAAACTTGAACGCTGTGCAGTATACAGACCACGTGTTGCAGCCAGTTGTGCTTCCGTTCTTACAAAACCAACAGCAGGGAACATTGTTTTAACACGACAATGCCAGGCCCCATACTGCAAGATTGACTCGGAACTTTCTTAACCAGCAGAACGTTGACGTTTTGCCCTGGCCTTCCCACTCACCCGATATGAATCCTATTGAACATCTGTGGGACCATCTTGACAGACAGATTAGAGCACGCCATTAGTCTTCCGTCAAGAGACAAGAATTGCAGCAGGCCCTGAGAGACGAGTGGCAACGGATTCCAGTCCACGTCATCAGAAGACTGATGTCATCGATGAGGCGTCGACCCCAGCATGCATTGAGGCAGCTGGAGGTCATACACGCTATTGAAGGCAACTGTGTCGACAATGAACTTGTAGTGTGTCTGACAATGTTTGCGAGGTCTTCATATATGCAATGTTTTCCTGAATCTTTGTCAATCACATTAGTGTCAAAAGGCACAGAAAATTCAATAATATAAATGATTTCATTGAATTTATCAAAAACGGTAACCATGTTGCTTAAGATAATGTGTTTGTGCCAAAGCTGGGCATCCACAATGTTGGAAAGTATAATTGAATTCATTGCATTATCTACATTTCATATTTACATTTTGATGCAAAATAACACGTTTTCGCATGGAAAGAGACTGGTCTTGAGCAGCAAACAGAAAGTCTTCTTTTTAGGTCAGCCGACTTCATCCAAAGGAACCGCTCAACACACTTCACATACACTCGATACAGTGGTCGAGTCTGAGTCGATTTGATATGCCACTTCGCTTGGTTGAGTACAGAATCATCAACAAAATCAACACTGACAATGAGATTATGTCCCACATACTTGGCTCGTGTAAGACAACCATGGAATGCTTTGTTTTCATCAAGAGGCATGCTTCACAAGAGGAACACCAAACGCATAAATGTGTGCAAAACTGCACAAAACAATTCTATCACGAAGAGCCTCCATATTGATCAAACCACGCGCTCCCAATATGATTGGTAAATATAAGCGATTAAAGGAAGAGCGAGGGTAGTGGGATCTAGATCTATTGTCTGACATGATTCTTCGTGTGAGGGTGTCACTAACACCAAAAGAATATGAAAGGGCGGGTACAGCATAAGTATTTGTGGCTCCAGCTTTTCTTAAGTCTACATTTGTATTCTGCCCGAGTTTTTCCTTGATATGGGCATTCTGGAGCCCCTAACCTGCATCCCTCAGTATGTGTAGGCCTGACCTTCCACGAGATGGTCAATAACTCTTCTCTCCAGGAAACTGACTGATCCTCCATCTTCTACCTTTCCACATTTCAGATGAAGAATGTGCATTGGTCGAGTACAAAGAACATGCTGATGCCATTAGAAAAGGACTCGACAAAGAGAATGTTTTTTTTAGTTTGGATCCTCCATTGGCAATAAGTTCAAGGTCATCCATGGAAAGTGAATGAGCGAGTTAGTTAAAATTTAACGTCGCATCGGCATTTTGTCAGCCATATAGCGTAAAAACAAGTTGTGAAACATATTTGAGCATATCATATTTTGAAATAATTTATGAACAATATTTGAGCATAACAATATTATATATACAGTTTTAAAACACGGGCTGTAGGCCACCAATAACCAAAGCTAGGCCGACTCATGGGGTACCTACAGTACCTATGCTTCCTGCATGATACCTCAGCAGGATTTAGGTCATTACTTTAGTTATTGGTGGTTATGCACAATGCTAGCCAATATTTAAAAAATACTCAGCAATGGGTGGGCTTAAAAACACTGGTTGATGATTGTTACATCGGTTATGATAGGATTACGTGTCACACAGTGGGACAATAATTTTACAATACCATCCAAGGAAAGGATCTATAGTATGACGGCATTGTAGCTGACACAGTTTATAACATCAACATCATCACGGACTCGGATGACACGTTTTTTGTGAAGTACAAATTCTTTTACCTTTTGTGTTGAGTCCCATGCGAGTTTTGAACCAACACTTGCAGAGTGAGGCACATAATCGCCAGCATGCAAAGTCAGCGGTAGTCCGACAACTGATATACTGATAATAACCCTTTTCGTCTATTTTTTAGAGCTTCACTATGCCTGGTTTGTCTAACTATGCATGACTAGTTTCTCCATGGCGTAATCACTGGACGGTATAATCTGTTTGGGGTCGGGTGGTCAGGCTCGCTGACTTGGTTGATACATGTCATCGTATCCCGTGGATCGATGCTCATGATGGACCTGATTATTTACAGACCGCCTTCATATAGGTGGAATATTGCCGAGTGCAGCGTTAAACATCAACAACAATAACAATAACAACAATTAATGGGCATAGGGGGGTTGGGGTTGTGACAATGAAGAGATTAGTAGCTGTGTATATATTCAAATACCTAGTAATGGGATAAAATTGTGTAAAGGCATTTTTAAGAAATGTATGTTGATTAAGACAGTTTGACAATGTGGAGATTAATAGATGATGATATATTCAAACATTTAGTAATAGGATAAGGTTTATTTACACTTCTTTCAAATTAAGAACTGTTAGTGAGTTAAATAACGAGATTGCTAAACATTCCAGGCCTAGGTTTACATACTGTAGCAGCGCATGAAGCATGTTTTTGTTTAATTAAGACACGCCTCAAAAGTCAGTAACCAATCAAATGAGAGTACAATCAAACAAAGTTCATTGGGCCTGTCAACCAGGGCAAGAGGTGAGAAGATGCAAGAGTCCGACTGCAACGAACCGGAACAAATTTGCCAGGGAGAAGGCGGTTGTTTCAAATATCATGGCCAGTACCAGGCAGTTGACAAAAATTGTTTCCTGAGAACGCGAAGACACAGTTAGTAATGCGAGTAACAAATGATACCCGAGGACATGACATTTGTGGAACCGAGACGAGCAATACAAAAATCGCCATGTGTATGATGATATGTGAGCCGAAAGGGAATTCCCACAACTGTAAATATGGGAGTCCCTGACGTTCCTTAGTTGTGAAAGTAGTCTGCTTAAGTGGGCGTGGCATATTTTTTACATTCATTGGGAAATGAATGCAATTACACGTGACCATATCAGGTGATCAGAATGCAGAAATTACAATGAACACAACGCAAATATAATTATAACATTCATGAAGAATTTTTGGGTAGGACAATTAGGTAAGAGGCATGAACTGTAATCCTTCCTTGCTGCAGTGTTTCTTTAAGCATAAAATCAAAATGTCTGCTTGGATTGGAAAGTTTAAGTTCAGCTTCAGATATTGTTCAATATAATGGTCAAATAGCAAATATCGATGTATCTCTCTGAGCTAGATATAAAATATATAAATGTATGCCTAAATATTTAGAGTGACAATTACATTTCCTCAAGACAGTTTGACAAGGGGGATGGCTTCAACTTCCAAAAGTCAATTTCCCATCTTTAGCTCAACAACTCAAACCTTTGATGCCTTCATTTCGCAATTGTGAAGTACAATAGAGCATTTTACGAAGTTTGCCCAAATGTTATGGATTAGGGCTTTGACACTGAAGGCCTCAGTAAAACTTTCAAAACGTTTAAGGTAGACATGTGGACATTTCCAAATTTGACGCATCAGTGAAAAAAGTGATGATGTCCGAGTTTGTTTCCGTGTTTTTTTAAGGTGAACAATTGACATGCCTTTGCACTTGTCTGTGATGGATGCCACCAGTGGTCACGACACGTTTACCTTATCCTGAAATACTTGGCATCATCACTTTCATGGTTATTCATAACAAAAATATGCTTATGATGAAGTCACTCGTACAAAGGTTATGGAACTGTTTTTGTCATTGTTTAATTAGTATTACATGCCTTCTAATATGCCAATCAAATAATCTCATTGTCGAGATATGACACGCATGCATGCGCGCACCAAAATCAAACACAGAATCATATGGTTTCATTTCAAGGAACCTTTCTACTCCACAGCTGATGTCTATCAACCGGATGTATGTTCCGAAGACCCTATTCCAAACGCAACCTGTAGTTCTGAGTCCAAGATGGCAGGGAGTATCAGATCTTGTACCTGTAAGACCAACTACAGAGATGTACCGCTGGACGTCGTCAGTGTCAACAACACCTGCCTGGTCAATGGCAGCTGGACTCCACCCTCGATTAACTGCACAGGTAAATTTTGATGCTTTAATGCATAATTGTGGCTTTGTTTAGCGATCAACTATTTGTTACATAGAAATAGCAAGTCATGTAAACGTTGACATTTGTTAGCCAACGGCGCAGTAACTCAGTGCGTACATCAGCGTCCCTTCATTGCCAAAACCTTCTGGTCGTTAAAACAAAACCCGAATCAGACCCAGTATATTGCCTGTTTTGTGACTTTCACTATTAGTTATCCTTGTCTAAACCATTTAATTTCCAGGTCCCTACATCAGACTGACCACGCCTAGTATCAGCACATACACCTTCCAACAGATATCTGCCAGCTACCTACACACAATCACAGGCGGCACCTCTACCGTGGTGTTTCTGGTCAAGGCCTGCAACGATGCCAACTTTGCCCTGCACACAAGACCTAACAACTACACCACTGATGTCTATGAGGTGTCTTTTGGTGGGTATGGGAACACGAAAGCCTTTATTGGTAAATGCATACAGTGCGGTATCATGGATTCCCATGCTGAATCATCTTTTGTGTCATGCAACGAGTACAGACCATTTTGGCTCAGCTGGAAGAATGGCGTCATCTCTGCGGGAAAAGGACTGGTTGCTGGTACCCAGAAATTCATGCAATGGACGCCAATTAGCCCAATTGTGATAAATCACGTTAGTATCAGTACCTATGTTAATAATCCTGGTACGTGGCTCTTCCGAGAGCAGTAAAATACTCACTGGCGACGCTTATAGGAATGAGTAACATTAGAAGATAAAGTGACAAAACCCTTTCCATATCCAATAGAAATCTCACCTTAAAGCAGAGTCGATAATACGATTCCTCTATATCATGGGCATGTGTCTACGAATCACTATTATTATGTAGCAGTGTATTTTATTGTTTAACAATGACTGTAACTGTGATTCATTGTTTCTGTTGAGATTCGGTAGACGGTCATTGTATCGTATTTGGGAAGAGATTAGTCGTCAGGAATGTAGTACTAGATAATGTAAACGGTCGTCAGTAAGTTACTATATTCAGATGCTAGGGTAGTGTAATAACTTCCGTTAACGCAGAGAATCAGAGCCTGTACAGAGCCTTATATCACTGTCTAGAAAGTTCTGGAAGCTAGTTAGGTTGATACGTTAAGGGACAAGAGCGTGTCACTCTGTGTTATCTCTTTGGTACCTGCTTTTATTACTTTTGCTACCACCACTGCATTTTGTATTTGACCCGTGAAGATTCCGGGGAAGAATAGGTCTTCAGCAACCCATGCTTGCCGTAAAAGGCGACTAACGGGATCGGGTGGTCAGGCTCGCTGACTTTTGCATGGATCAAATTGCATGGATTGATGCTCATGATATCAATCACTGGATTGTCTGGTCCAGACTCGATTATTTACGGACCGCCGTCATATAGCTGGAATATTGCTGAGTGCGGCGTTAGACAACAAACCAACCAACCAACCAAGCATTTTGTATTTGATACTGACCACAATGACTGTGTCCCCATGGCCCCCAATAAGGTGGGCTGGCTTTAGTTACTGGTGGTATATAGCTCGTATTTTAAAAATATAAAATGTAAAGTTGATGGATAAATTTTGGTTAGAAGTTTTAGTGTTGAATTTGTTAGTTTTCAGATTTCAATCCGTGATATCATGCTAAGTTTTACTGTCCTTTGTGACAGGTAATTATCTTTCCATTTGTTCTCGTCACTATATGGCTGCCGATGTGACGCAAAACTTTAACTCACTCACTCACTCACTCACTCACTAACTCACTCAATGACTGCCATCATATTACACTCTTCAAAAAAGTAAGCGCACAGATAGATTTCTAGTAAATTTATTGTACCTAATAAAGTCCATATATTTAATATGGAATATATGGATTTGTGGAGTCTGATAGTTATCGTTGTATAAAGGCATTAAAAACTGTTCATTGTCATGTCACATAAGGCCACAAGGTTGCGCTAAACTCAGTATCTCGTATGACCGCCCCGGGCAGCAATTACAGCTCTGCATCTCCTCGGCACTAAATGAATAAGTGTAAAAATTCTATCCTACGGAATTCTGCGCCATAACGCTTGTAACGCGTTGGCCAGTTGTGGGAGTGTCCGCGGTGGTTTCTGACAGTGACGCGCACGTGTTCCCAGAGGTGTTCGATTGGGTTGAGATCCGGAGATCTCAATGGCCAGGGCAATCCCAAGGTAGTCTACCGTGACACGAGCTGCGTGTGGTAGAGCGTTCTCCTGTTGAACAGCTCCCTCTCGCGGTCAATGATTGGAGTGAGTGAGTGAGTGTGGTTTTACGCCGCTTTTAGCAATATTCCAGCAATATCACGGCGGGGGACACCAGAAATGGGCTTCACACATTGTACCCATGTCGGGAATCGAACCCGGGTCTTCGGCGTGACGAGCCAACGCTTTAACCACTAGGCTACCCGACCGCCCGTCAATAATTGGAAGAAGGTAGGGTTGAAGAATTTGATTCATGTATTGACTTGCTGTCAAATGTCCCTGAACCACAACAAAGTCAGATCTCGTGGTGCAGGATATGGCCCCAACACCATGACACTACCGCCAGCGAAATTGTCGAATTCCCGAACACAATGTGTGGCAAATCGCTCATTTCGACGACGATAAACACGTTGTCTTCCATCTTGCCGGTGAAGAAGCAATCTTGATTCATCGCTTAACCACACCCGTCTCAAGTTTCTCAAATTCCAACGCTGTAAGGTATGGCATCAACGCAAACGTCACCGTCGATGGATCTGTTGCAAAACAGGGACGATAACTGGTATTCTGGGTCATATTCCAGCCTCGCGGAGATGAATCCTGACAGTCTGGTCCGATATCCTCCTCAAACCAGGAATGCCGTTGCTGTGGCATTGCGATAACGTGGTGGAACAGTCGAATGCAGCGATCCTGTGCAGGGGTGGTAACTCTTGGTCGGCTGGTTCTCGGACGGTCTGTAGTGGAATCGAACTGTGTGTATCGGTCACAAAGGTGGCAAATGGTGCTGTGGTGGACGTTGAAGTGGCGTGAAACAGGAGACTACGATTCCCCTCTTTTGATACGTCCTGTGGCGATGTTCCGTTCGGCAGCGCTGTCTCAGCATTTTGGGACTTGAAAAATGTTGACAATTGAATGACAAATTATTGGCTTATGCTTCCCTTTATAAAGCCACTACCACGAATGTCATAACTTGCACGTGCATTTTGCTTTACTGTTTTCTTATCATATAGCGATGTGACGAGTGTTTTGTCACTCTGAATCTTTATGCATAAATCGAAATGTAAAGCAGATGAGGCGGTCTCACTGGACTCCTTTATTCTTATTTCAGGAGGGTAAATCAGTGGAAGGGTTTTGGCTATTTTATTGTTATTGTACGAAATCGGATTATCGATATACCTGAAGCTTTAGTTAAACTTCTTTGCCAAATTACCTTGTTTTAACTTTGCCAATCCGAGCAGAAATTTCTGTGCATATGCATAAAGAAACAGTTCCGCCAGAAGGGCCGCTCAATTGGTGCCAATTGGGGTGCCGACTTCTTGCCTAAATGTCCAACCCTCGAATTGAACGTGGATGTTATCAATGAGGAAGGGGGGCGGTCGAGTAGCCTAGTGGTTAAAGCGTTCGCTCGTCACGCCGAAGAGCCGGATACAATGTGTGAAGCCCATTTCTGGTGTCCCCCGCCGTGATATTGCTGGAATATTGCTAAAAGCGGCGTAAAACCATACTCACTCACTCACTCACTCACTCAATGAGGTTCAGCATTTCATATATTGTTTTCTCAATAAACTACAGATGGCATTTGCTTTCATCTATTACAAATTGTCCTGAATGTCTGAATATAGATACGTAACTGTTTTCACCACGTTGTGTTACAGAAGCCACATGGATCAAGGAATGAAGTTTGTCATGTGGGATAGTGGTGTACAGGGTTGAAAAATAAAATGTTTTGACAGAATGGTTCTTCAAGGTCTATCAAATCCTTTGAGATTATGAGAATCCACATAGTATTAAATCCACTTTCTGTCAATATTAAGTGAGTGAGTTGGGTTTAACGCCGCTTTTAACAGTATTCCAGTTATATCGCGGCATGTCAGCTTAATGTGGGAGGAAAGCCCGAAGTTATGCAGGTCTCAGACGTTTACCACTTCGGTGAAACCAACGAGCACGGGTATGATGCTGACAAAACCTAGAAACATAATTGGGGTGTGAATATAAAGAAAATATTAAGAATTATGGTTAGTCTATGAGACAGTGATTTGGTGGTACATTTGCTGGCCCCAGGAATATATCTCTCTTTGTACGGATTTTATTAAGCTTTGGAATCCAACACAAAAGAAAAATGGACATGCCCTCAGATTAAGAATCAAGTCAAGGGTTTTTAGTACTGATGCATGGTTTGGGCATATTTCTTTCATCAGTTTACATGTAGATACTGGTCTTATATGTGACATTATTTGATATGTCATTTAGTTCAAGTTCTGTGGTCAAACAGTTATTTTAGTGATGCTTACATGCACTGGTTATGATCTTCAAGGCCTTGTCAGTGGGAACTGCTGCAAACTTTCGACTTTTGATGACAGCTGAATGGGACAGAATTGGTTCATTCCAATCCCTTTGTAAGTTTGTACATTCCATCAATGACAACATCACGCTTTGAAATATTGCTGAGTGTGGCGTTAAACAACAAACAAACAAACAACTGACTTAACCCTCTCTGAAAGACATTCAACCATGTTCCTGTTCTCTTTTGGCCCATTTTTTGGCATATTCTCCAGCCACATCCACGATGTTCGATTTTGATGTTGTGATCCCAGTTGGTAGGAGGCTGCTCACAGTATTTTTGTCCATAACTGAGGTCATAATTTCATAATTGAAAGTACAATGAAAATGAAAAGTGGACTTCATGTAGTGGAATATGACATCCAGTGTGCAACAAGAGCCCTTTTTGTCACCCATCAAACCCAGTTATCATGTACTTGTTCACAAGCTTATCCATACCCATGCCCAGGTGTGATATGGAGCATTTTATACCCTAAAATATACAGACTTTACGATCTAATTTCATCCGTTGACAAAGTATGAAAGTGAGTGAGTGAGTATGGTTTTATGCGGTTTTTAGCAATATTCCAGCAACATCACGGCGGGGCACACTGGGGATAGGCTTCACACATTGTACCCATGTCGGGAATCAAACCCAGCGTGACGAGCGAACGCTTTAACCACCAAGGCTACCCGACCGCCCCCGCATAAAAGTGAAACCTGTTGACATTTATGATACCAGCTACAACGGGGAAATGCACCACAGGCCATTTTGCATATCTGACATTAGATTATGATTAAATGACGTATTGCTTTCCTTTTCTCTGATGTTTTAGCATGATGTAAAAATGCCCAAATTGAACCCTAGACATTATATTTTAGACTGTCCATAACATCAAAATATTTTCAGGTGAATTGATAAAAAATATAGTGGCAAAAGTGGTTTTTCACGTGCAACTGGTCACGTGGCCATAATACCGCACGTGTTTTCAGCCATACTTGTTAGCAGTCATTAACAAAAAAAGAAAAACACAAGAAAACAAAAGTCTTTACGGCCATTTGTCATGCCACGCCTTTCAAATGTGCAACGTGAACGTGCCATCGGCATGTTGCAGACGGGAACGTCCGTAGCTGAAGTCGCAAGGACGATGGGTTGTAGTCGACGGACTGTTTATGATTTACAGACGCGTCTACAGCAAGCGGCCAGGTCGACCACGTATGACATCACATGCAGAGGATCGTTAGATTGTCTTACGTCACCTCCCTAACCAATTTTTGACGGCTACATCAACCAGAAAAGAACTGTTTAGGGGTAGACTGAGTGCGCAAACTGTTCGAAACAGTATGAAAACTGCTCACCTTCAAGCACGACGGCCATACTGCGGGCCGATTCTGACTCAATTACACAGACGTCAACGTCAATTGTGGGCACAGCGACACTTACGATGGACTTGGGGGAATTGGAATCAAGTCGTCTTCAGTGATGAATCCAGATTTAATCTTCGATTTGCTGATGGTAGGATGAGGGTGTGGAGGCGCCGTCATGAACATTACGCCCAGTGTTGTGTACAGGAAGTTGACAGATTTCGAGGCGGAAGTGTCATGGTGTGGAGTGCTTTCTGTGGCAATGCACGTTCCAGGCTTCTTGTCATCCGTGGCAACCTCAACGCTGCTGCTTACCGCGACCAGGTACTGGCA